AGAGAAGTAATGACCCCACTGGTTAAGGACATGGGGAGAAATCCCAATGTCCCAGTGATGACACAAACCTAAAGTAATTATGTCAAGACAGTTATGTCATAGAATGCACTGAAGCTTGCAACAATACACTATGTCTAGGTTATTTATTATACAGGCTGCTGGGATCAGCAATAGGGAACTGGTACAAAAAAAAAAGAAGAATGTGTGGATTTAATTCTGAGTACATCTATTTCTTCAGAGGTGCCACTGGCAAGGACACATATCCAGGCTAGTGCTGTGTCTGCAAATCATATCGCAGGATTGTTATTCAAAGGAGCTGGGGTATTTAACCTGTGGAGAGAAGAGATGAGAGGCATGATAATGCATCAGCTGTTTTCATGGGCTCTCACACAGGAGGAGAATCAAGGCTCCTTCTCACAAGGGTAGGTGTGGGACCCAAGGAGAGAAGCTGCCCCAGATTCAGGCTCTAAACCCAGCACCTCTGACCCATGGGTGCGTCCTAGATGTCGTGTGAGGTAGTGAGAACTTGACTCGACTCCAGGAGCAGAGGGCAGAGGCCTCAGGCTGCGGGCAAGGGGCTTTCTTTCTAGCAACTGCCCCACTCTAGTGCTCTGCGCTTTGGAGGAAAGAGGTCCTGAGGGGTCCCGCAAATTGCTCTAGGTATGTCCCCCGCGGTGCTCCGTGTGGCAGCAGGAGTGCTTCTGTGAGCAGAGCCTGAGGGGGTGGGGAGAGGAGTGTGTATAAAGAAGTTGGGTCCCTCCACAGGCTCAGTACCTACTGAAGACAGAGCCTAGCACAGTCCGTTTTTCACTTGGACCCCTGGTGCCTGGCTGTCTGGTGTTGGGGGACCATAGCTGGCTCTCCTCAGGCACCCCTCAGAGGAAAGGCCTGCTGGGAAGCAGTGTGCCTGAGAATGCAAACAATTTACTGGCAGCAGCATCTCTCCTGCTCTACCAGCATCTGATGAGACGTGGGGGGAAGCGGAGAGGAACAGAGTTGGGGGGTAGCAGGAGCAATGGAGAGAAGAAGCGGGGAGGGAGGGGAAAGGGCTGACCTCTGTGCTTTGGTCTGGCATTTGGCGCTTGCTGGCATACGAGTGCCACCAATTTCTGAACCAGTGAGGATCTAAGTCTAAGGCAAAAAAATAGCCCAACAAAAGGAAAACAAAAAAAGAGGGTTTGTTATACTATTCAGATCTCTGGAGACCTTTTTAGTTGTCACAACTTGGCGAGAGGGATGTGACAGGCATCTAATGGGTAGAGACCAGAGATGCTGCTAAAATTCCTATAATGCACAGGACAGCCCCAATAACAAAGAATTGTCCAGCCTAAGATATCAATTGTGCTAAGGTTAAGAAACCATGCCTTAAAGGGATTTAACACCAGAGACCCCAGTGCCTAGTGCCCAGGGCCACCCACCTACAGTGGAGCCAAAAGGGCCATAGAAATCATAATCTTCCCCTCCTACAGGTGAGGGGTTTGAAGCTCAGAGAGTGAAGGGGCTTGTCCAGGGACCCAGGCCTTGGATTGAGGTGATTAAGAGTCTTGGAGTAAGATAGAACTAGTGTTAAACTCCAGTTCAGTTAGTTAACATCTGTGCAACTTGGGCGAGTTACTTCACCTCTTGGAGCCTTAATTCTCTCACTTGTTAAATGGACATCATGTAATAACTCCCTCACAGAATAATTTTAAGGAATATGTGAGATAATGCACATAAAGTGCTTAACATAGCACGTGGCATGTAATAAATGGTACCTCTAATTATGAGTAGCAGAGCTGGAGCTAAAATCTTGCCTCCTATCCCCAAGTTTTGTCCTCTTTCCACTGCATCACTTTAATGAGTCCCGAATTGGAGCTAGCCATCAGTTCGGAGAGGCTTGTAGCGCAGTGGTTGTGAGCTCTGGCACTTGGCGCAAGTGGATCTGGATTCAAAGTCAGTGCTGCCACTTTCAAGCTGATAAATCACTTAATCTCTCTCTAAGCCTCAGCTTCTTCATCTGTAAAATGGGATAATGCTAATACCTGATTTATAGGCTTATTGTGAGATTTAGAATCAAAACTCGTATTAAACACTTTACCTCAGAGTCTAGATGATTGGAAGGAATCATTATATTGATATATTAGTTATAGCTAATGTTTATGACAGGTTGTATTTCCCCCAAATGGCTGCCACAGTGTTTCTCATCCAACGTGCTCTTCTTACAATGTAATTCTCCTCCCACCAAAAGGTCTGTTCACGTATGTGGGTGGACATATGGCTATGGGGAGAATGATACTTTGTACCTTCTGAGGCTGGGTCCTAAAGAAGTGATACAACTTCTTGCTTCTGTTAAGATGCTCACAGTGAAACCAAGCTTCCATGCTGTGAGGAAGCCCGTCACCCCATGGAGAGTCCCATTTGAGGAAGAACTGACAGCATTAACTGGCCGGCCATATGAATGAGCCACCGTAGGAGCGGAACCTCCAGTTTCAGCGAAGCTGCCTCAGCTGATGCTAAATGGAGAGAAGTGAGCTGGCTCCACTGAACTGTGTTCAAATTCCAGATTCGTGAGCAAAATACATGGTTGTTGTCATTTAAACTGCTAAGTTTGGGGATGTCCTGTTTTTTAGCAATGGTAACTGGAAAGATATTATTTTTATTTATCTCCAAAAAAGGAATTTTCCTCCCGCCCATGTCACCTCCTAAGCCTCAACATCAACACCTGGAAAAAAACCAGACGTCATAGGAAATGTTGCTGCTTCTCTCCAGATCTCCTGTGATTTTCTGGGTATCTGGAGAAGATGATCAAATGCCACCACTGGTTGTGAATGTGATGTATGGAGACTGAGGAACTTGAGGATTTATCTGGGGACACAATTCGACAAATATCTTTTGGGAACAGATTAATTCCAGGGCCAGAGAGGCTTCTTGAAGCTTGTGGATGAGGTTCCCCAGAGCACATACTCCAGTATTATTCTTTCCCCACTTCTTCCTTGGTTTCTGCCATGGGTGTGAGAGACAGGAACGACCTCTTTTGTCCTCTTGAGCTTATTCAATCCTCCATGTCTTCTTTATGGTTTCAAAGGATGTGAGGTGAGGATATAGGACAGGGTCTGATGATGAACTGAGGAAGATTTTTGTCATTCTAAGGAAAGCAAACAATTATTCTGATTATGGCGTGTGTGTGTGTGTGTGTGTGTGTGTGTGTGTGTGTGTGTGTGTGATGGAGGGTAGAGGGGGGAGTGCTGTTGAGATTAAAGTTAAAGAACTTTCCTGCTCTTCTTTCTGAGCAAAGGAATTTCTCAGAATCTCCTTTCTTTCACCCCAGTGGAAAGTTACTCAGTATGACCACTCAGAGCCTTGGGACTAATAGACCCAAGATATCTTCTTGAGGAGTGGGGACCCAGTGAGAGCTCTATGCTTCATTCACCAAGACAGACTAGCCCTTTTTGTGTTTTACCAGAAGGATAGAATAATAATGAGCTATCTGCTCCCTCCCCATGGGAACTTTGCCGATGCACTGGTGAAAATTATTCCATGTTTCTTGTTTTTTGTTTTTTTTTTTTGTGGTACGCAGGCCTCTCACTGTTGTGGCCTCTCCCGTTGCGGAGCACAGGCTCCGGACGCGCAGGCTCAGCGGCCATGGCTCACGGGCCCAGCCGCTCCGCGGCATGTGGGATCTTCCCGGACCGGGGCACGAACCCGTGTCCCCTGCATCGGCAGGTGGAGTCTCAACCACTGTGCCACCAGGGAAGCCCTATTCCATGTTTCTTAAGGCAGGTGTCCAAACCTGGGATCCCAGTTTAGGGGAAGGGCAGACAGTTACTTGCTGGTTTCTGGAAAACTGACAATATGTTAGAAACACAACTTCCTCCTGCGTCAAATGGGAGAAGTTTACAGTTCCGAAAGCCTCACGTGACTTGCCCTCTTCCACCTCCACCTGTGTGTCTCCCCCTTCTTTGAAAGACCCACAGGAGAGCTCTGAGTTCCCAAAGAAATGAGTGGGAAGTGGGCTTGATACCCCCTCAATATTCCCCAGTGACCCTGGCATTGGAGCCCACTTTGGGAAACGGCCTGGAAGAAAATGTTTGAGTGTAGCTGAAGGATGCTTTTAGCCTTCAACAGAAAGCAGCTATGGGTTCTTGGTACCTTTCCAGACCCGGTTGGTGTGAAGACTCAGCCTAACACCTTTACCTCTGCAAAGTGGTATTTGAGCAATTTGTCATCAGGATGCATTTAAGGTGGGAGCTGTTTTCCTGGGCTCCCCTTCTTAGTTCCTCCTGTGCAAAACAACTGGCAAGTTTCCTAATGATATTAACTTAATAGAGAATGATTTCTGGCATATTGCTGGCTGCCACACACGTTAAGTTACAAGGCATCCAGTGAGGCTGTTTACATTCATTGTTTCAGAAGGTGGCTAAATGGTTTGTGAGCTGAATGGGGCAGGGTGGCGAAAGGAGGGGCCTCTGGGGGAGGAGGCTGGACCATGAGTCGCTCCCATGAGTGGGCTTGTTGGCAAAGAAGGCCCTCGGAGAGCCCGACGGCTTTGATGGCTTTCCTGGGGGAGGGAGTAATGTCTGCCCCTCTTTGCTGGGTCACGATGATCTCATTTTTCAGCCTTTTATAGTGGGCTGTGAAAATAGCCTTTCACCTTCAGTGAGTCACAGTGAAACCAGGCAAGGAGGTTCGAGAGCAGTGTGATGAATCTATCTCATTTTGGACTTCCCAGTGAATCCAAGGGGCACATTTGCGAGGCCCCACCGGCAGCCACACTTTGTTAAACCTTGGACAGAACGGGTGGCAAAGCAGATACCCTTTAGGAAGGTGAAAGAAAAGCAGGACAAGGAGAACCATCTTCACCTCACCAGCAAGCTGCTGACCACTGCCCGCAGTCAGACTGAGCTCAGCTGCGAAATGGTTTGCTGATGCTCGGCTAAACCCCCTTCTTAGCTGGAGCCCCCATCCCTTGCGGCCATTGGAGACTGGACTTTCCCAGGGAGGAAGGGAGGTTGGACTCCAGCATGGCTGGAGGCTCCTTATCTGGCCGCACCAGGAGTCTTGGGGCAGAGCCAAGCTGCCTTCACCATGTGATTGGGGATGGCAGTGACTCAGGGGGCGACAGGCTGGAAGTGGAGAAGGAGCTGGTGTCGTCAGCTGTTGTTAAGAAAGAACAGAGGAGCCTGGGAGGAAACTCTAGTCCTGAGAGGACAGGAGGCCCGAGGTAGGTTGCCTAGCAACTGTGCCTTCCAGGCTGCTGGGGCCTCTTGTCCGCTCCTACCTCCTTAGTTTTTCCTTCAAACCTGCCTTTCATATGCCTTTCAGCCAGATTTCCTCTCCCGAGGGTGTGGGATATGGGTGAGGAGCAGCCAGGGCACATTTTGCTCTGGACCAAGGAATGTTTTAGAGAGTTCTACTCTGGATTGGTCTTCCTGAGAGGAGGACAGTGACGGTTCAGAACCCAGATGCTAGAGCCAGATCTGGGCTCAGATTCCAGAACCAACACTTATAGATGTGTGCTCTTAGGCAATTTCTTCACCTCTCAATACTTTAGTTTTTCCATCTATAAAACAGGGAGAATAATAGTGCCTACCTCAGTTGAGGCAATGTGAGGATTTATTGTGAATATATAGATAGGTAGGTAGAAGATAAATGGAAGGAAAGGAGGAAAAACAGTTGGATAGAAAATAGATAGGAAGGAAAGAAGGAAAAATAGATAGAAAATAAATAGATCTTTTAAAAAGAAGAGGGAATTCCCGGGTGGTCCAGTGGTTAGGATTCAGCGCTTTCACTGCCCCGGCCCGGGTTCAATCCCTGATGGGGGAACTAAGATCTTGCAAGGCGCACAGCCAGGCTAGAAAAAAGAAAAAGAAGAGAAGATAGATGATAGAAGGAAAGATAGATACCAAGAAGCGAAGATAAATAGATAGATAGATAGAGATAGACAGATAGGAAGGAAAGAAGGAAAAATAGATTTAAAAAAATAAGGGAAGATAGATGATAGAAGGAAAGATAGATACCAAGAAGGGAAGATAGATAGATAAATAGATAGATAGAGATAGACAGACAGATAGGAAGGAAAGAAGGAAGAATAGATTAATAAAAAGAAGAGAAGATAGATGATAGAAGGAAAGATAGATAAAAAGAAGGGAAAATAGATAGGTGGATGGATTGACTGACTGATGGATAGATAGACAGATAAACTTAGAATAGTTCCTGGTACGTAGTCTATGTACGTGTCAGTTATTAATAGACCTGAAGGACAGCCAGACACAAAAGCTTGCTTGCATGTAGGGCAGAGGATCTGGGGCAGGAGCCCCAGAGCTCTTGTTTCACAGTGGTGTGTGGTGTTGGGAGATCTGGTTCCAGGCCTCGTTCTAACAATGGCTTTCTGTGGGGTCTTGAGCAAATAGTAGATTTCCTTCTTTGCTCTCTGCCTCCCCATCTGTGCGGTCAGAAGACTGGACTGAAACAGCCTGAATTTCCTCACTCTTCCTTGTCTTATGACGTTGGGATGTGGATTGAGCCATGAACAACCTCTGTCCGCACATTTTTTGGGGGATTAGAAAATGTGGCAGCAGGAGGGGCCTCCAGGTGAGCCCCAGAGGGAAGGTTTGGGGGAGCTGCAGGGGATCAATCAATCCCCACAACTTCAGATAGGGGGAGTGGCTGGGCCAGACTTGGGGAGGGGTCAGGCAGCCCTGCTCACGGGCTATATTTCCTTGTATTTATTTCTGGTAGCTGCTCTAGGGATTATAATATACATAACCTAACTTTACACATTCTGTTTAAATTTAATATTTGACCACTTCTAGTAGAATGTAGAAACCTTACAACCATATATGTTCCTTTAACCTTCCCCCTTTTTGGTATATATATGTCATATATATGACATCTACATACATAAGAGCCCCCTAACCACCCAGCGATATTATAATTTTGGCTTTCAATACTCATACATATTTTTAAAATATAAGAGGAGAAAAGTAATTTATTGTATTTACTCAGATGTTTACCATTTCCGTTGCTCTTCCTTCATTTCCAAAGTTCTAATTTTCTTTCTCAGATCATTTCCCCTCTATCTGAAGCACTTCTTTAACATTTATTTTAGCACAGGTCTATTGTCAATGAAGCCTCTTAGTTTTCTTTCTCTTGAGAATGTCTTTATTTCACCTGCATACCTGAAGGATATTTTCATGCGATGTAGAATTCTCACTTGACAGCTTTTTTTCTTTCTGGCCCCTATGGCTTCTGTGAGAAATCACAGTCAATCACATTTTTATTCTACTTGTAATGTGTCATTTTCTCTGGCTGCTTTCAAGATTTCTTTATTTCCTTTGGTTTTCACAGTTTGACTATGATGGTTTTATTTGAATTTATTCTGTTTCATGTTCCCTGAGCACCTTTGCATCTGTAAATTTATGTCTTTCACTGAATTTGAGAATTTTTTTGTAATTACTTCTTCAGAATTTTGTTTTCTGTACCAGTATCTGTCTCCTCTCCTCATGGCCTCCAATCACATGCACACTAGAGCTTTTTATATTGTCCCACAGGTCCTGAGGCTCTGTTCACTTTTTCAACAGATTTTCTGTCTGTTTTTTCGATCAGATAATTTCTATTTATCTATCCTCAAGTTAATGGACACTTTTTTTCCTGTCTATTTTTTTTTTTTTTTGAAGATGGACTCCAATTATTTGAATCTCTCTAGTGAATTTTTTATTTTGGGTAATGTATTCTCATTCTAAAATTCCATTTGCTTCTCTTGTTATGGTTTCCTTTTCTCTGTTGAGAACTTCCCATTCATTTCAAGAGTGTTCACTTTTTCCTCACATAATACTTTAAGGTCTTTATCTGACAATTCCAACATCTTGGTCATCTTGGGGTTGGCATGTGTTGATTGTCTCTTCCCTTTGAGAATTTGTCACATTTTCCTGGTTCCTGGTATGTTGGATAATTTTGGATGATATCCAGGACAGTTTGTATGTTAAGTCATGAGTCTCTGGGTCCTCTTAAAATCCTCCAGAGAATGTCGAGCTTTTTGTTTTAGCAGGCGATCATACCAATTAGGTTTTCACTGCAAGTTCTATCTTACTTTCTGAGGGTGGTGGTTCCAGTGCCCGTATTGTTTTCAAAGCCTTTGCTATGCTTTTGGAGGCTGCCTCTTGCCTATACCACTTAGGGGTAGTCTGGGACTTGAACAGTGATATACGGCTTACTTCTCAAAACCTTTGTTATGCTTCTTGGGATGTGTTCTACAAAGGCGCACTTGGCCATGAGCTCAGGATTTGTGTCAGCTCACACAAAGAAATGTATACCCTTACCTAGCTTCTGTTTATGCTAACATCTTACGTAACAATGGTATGTTAGTCAAAACTAAGAAATTGACATTGATACAATACTGTTAACTAAACTACAGACTTTATTTGAATTTCCTCAGCTTTTCCATTAATGTTTTTTTTCTGTTCCAAGATCTAGTCCAAGGTACCACATTACATTTTTATTTATTTATTTATTTATTTAGGCTGCGCCGGGTCTTAGTTGCAGCACGTGGGATCTTCCTTGTGGCATGCAGGATCTTTTTTAGTTGCAGCACATGGACTTCTTAGTTGTGGCATGCATGTGGGATCTAGTTCCCTGACCAGGGATCGAACTCTGGCCCCCTGCATTGGGAGCGTGGAGTCTTACCCACTGGACCACCAGGGAAGTCCCCCACATTACATTTATTCATCATATTTTCTTAATCTCCCTCAAACCGTGACAGTTCCTATGACCTTAAACACTCTTTTTTTTTTTTTAAAGCTAAGGGGAAAGTCAAGAGACTTCTTCCCAACAGGATGGAAATTTTATTTTATTTATTTATTTTTGGTTGCATTGGGCCTTCGTTACTGTGCGTGGGCTTTTCTCTAGTTGTGGCGAGCGGGAGCTACGCTTCGTTGCGGTGCACGAGCTTCTCATTGTGGTGGCTTCTCTTGTTGTGGAGCATGGGCTCTAGGTGCGCAGGCTTCAGTAGTTGTGGTGCACGGGCTTAGTTCTCTGTGGCATGCGGGATCTTCCTGGATCAGGGATCGAACCCATGTCCCCTGCATTGGCAGGCAGATTATTTACCACTGTGCCACCAGGGAAGTCCCATGACCTTAACACTCTTGAAGAGGAGTAGTTAGATATTTTTAGAATGTCCCTCAATTTGTGTTTATCTGTGTGTTCTCGTTAATAGGCCGAGGTTATGGATTTTTGGAAAAATATCACAGAGGAAAAGTACTCTTCTCATCCTGTGTTATCAGTGGGCACATTATGTCAGCATGATTTATCACTGGTGATGTTAACCTTGATCCCTTTGTTAAGGTGATATTTGCCAGGTTTCTCCACTGTAATGTTACTACTGTATATTTCTCCTTCCACAAATATTCACGAGTCTCTACATCGAGCCCACACCCAAGGGGAGGGGAATTAAGCACCATTTCCTGAAGGGCAGGGTATCAAAGAATTTGTGATCATATCTTAGAACCACCACAATAATTAGTGAATTTTGGGAGCAATACTTTGAGGCTATGTTTCCCCTTAAATTTTCTCCCACTAATTTTAGCATTTATCAATGGATCCTGCCTACAGCAATTATTACTGTGGTATTCTAATGTTGAGCTGTTTTGCTCATTTATTCTACATTTATTAATTGGAATTCTTCTTTAAGGAAGATCTATCCTTCTCTTTATTTATATTTATTCAGTCATCTCAGAATGGACTCACGGATATTTATTTTGTTCTTTACATTATAATCCAATATTATCATTATATAATTAGTGTCTCAAATCGTTCTAGGTTTGGCTATTGAGAGCTTTTTCAGGTTGGCTCCTATATGCCCCCTCCATCCTTTTTTTTCACCTTAGAATCAGCCATTTCTCCAAGTAGCCTTGGATTCTTTTATTGAAGCAAGGTATTTAGAAACTAAGATCTGGGCACTGGGCATGATGTGGCTACTGGGTGTTAACTGTTTCTAGGCTGTCTCTGCCGACAAAACTAGGAAGTACATATGTGTCAACCAACCTACTTGTGCTCATAGTATTTGTTTCAGATCTCTCCTATAAGGTGAGGTGCCACTGTCTACCCTGTTTTCTGACTGTCTGGGTACATAGCAAATATTCTCTACCACCCCATATGCTCTCAAAGAGCAGAGTTCATGCCTGAGACATGTTATATGCCCTCTGGTGCCTGGCATATGAGAGGAAC